CAAACGTTCTGCTGAACGCAGCCATTGTGTCTTGGGCTGTAGAGTTTTTTCCACCATGACAGTAGATGCTTTCCAGCAAGGACATTAGGTCTGTTCGCGTTGCATGAAATCCCCAAATATTTTTGCATTTAAAATGAGATAGATATATATTTGGCCTTGAAAAGAGAGAAAGCAAAGATGTCGAGTGCTAAAAGTGTAAGCAACGCGAACAGACCTATATAGTCAGATACTGTGTAAAACAGTGAGTCGTTTCATCCTTATTATTTGTCAACGTTAAACAAGGATGAAACGACTCACTGTGTTACACAGGCTGCGTTCCACTTAACGCTTCTCCGAGTAACTCTAAAGAACCCGGAGTAGTGGCGGAAAGAGTAAGTCAGAGTACGTTACTCGAGTTGACAAATTTGGAACGTGAAAAGGTAAGGTAATATTATATATACATATAATATTATATTTAATATTTTATTTAGAAAGAGATAAACTCAGATAAACTATATATGTATGTACATGCATACATCTAACCTTGATACAAGCTTTCGAATCACATTTTCTACTTACCTCTCGTGTCCATCACCCACAATGAATTATTTTCTTGTAACGGTGTTCCATTATCATTGGTTATTAACATATGCACATCTTTGATTAATTTTAGAGCCATTTTAGGGAAATGAAGTCGTTACTTTAGAGACCGCTCGAACGGGACGGACGTGTGCGTCTCGCTTCGTGTGTTGCATCATCTCAATATTCAAATTTCGTTTGCCGCACTTACTCTTTCAACCCACCTCGGAAGCAGGGTTCATAGAGTTGACTCCGAGGTAGATTTACTCATACTTTTGGAACGAATAGGCTCCGCCCATATGGTCAGTTACCTCGCGTTTTGGAACGGCGTAGAGTTAAACTCTGTTATTCGAAGTGAATTTTGGAACGCACCCCTGGAAAGCACCCCCTATCTATCCTATCCAGTTAGGACAGGTTTCTATCCATTCCTATTTTCTATCTATTTTTTATTATCTATAAAGATTGGTTTATAATAGGCCGTAATCTGTTAACTTTTTCCGTAATCCGTAAGAATTGTCCAATGAGTCACAGTCGAATGAGAGGAGACAATCGATTATGATTAGTCAATTCTTACAGATTACGGAAAAAATTAACAGATTACGGCCTATTATAAATCAACTCTAATAAGGAACTTTTATCCAGGCCGTAAATTGTTAACTTATATCATAACCGGTAAGTTCAATACAATTAGGGCCGATTGTTCCATCTTTTGGTAAAGTTTACCTGTTAGGTAAGTAGCAATTAGATTATCCAATCACGTGTGCGGATTACCAGATTTACTTAACAGGTAAACTTTACCAAAAGATGGAACAATCGGCCCTAAAGCCCATGGCACATACAAAAACGTAAGGCCGTAATACGTAAGCAGTAAAGAAATCGTAAGATTGGATTCGCTACTGGCCTTACGGTCTCTATCGTGATTGGCCAATTCGCTTACTGATTATGTCTTACGGCCTTACGTTTTTGTATGTGCCATGGGCTTTACCCCGGATCTACAATAAGATTTTAAGCCTTAAGCCATAAGAAATGGACGAATCATAGTCGATTATTCTCCTCGAATTTGATTGTAATTGGTCAATTTCTTACGGCTTAAGGCTTAAAACACCTATTGTAGATCCGGACTTAATGTTTATGCAGATTTGCGTACTACCACTTGCTATATTTCTTATTTCGGTTATTACCTTTGCTATACATGTGTATAATAGCACTATAATATAGCAGTATATAGCACTATAATATAGCAATACTAATAAATTATATGTATACCGGCATTATATATGAAAATTTTAGTTATGTGTACTAATATGTACTAATTCGATCTACGTTCGATATCCTTCATTATTTAATATTGTTAGAATATCGGTATCATAAAAATATAAATATGATATAGCATATAATATATAATTTATAATATAAATATGATATAGCATATAATACTATATAACTACGTTTGATTTCACTGATGAAGCGAACAGTTCATTTGCGTGACGGTAATAGTTTGAAGGATAATTTACTATGCGCTTGATATGTAAATTGCGTCTTTATCTGTCCTTTATTTTTAAACAAACAGAGAAACAAATGTATTTCTTTATCGTTCATTATTCGTGCGGAACATTGACGTACCGTTTATAACGTACAAAAACAGAATAATTTTTCGAGTTGTGCGTGCTTTCGCAAAAGAAGCTTAATAGCTAATAAACTTTTGGGTGCAAATTCAAGTCAACAAAAAATAAATTAGTATAAGAAAAAAGAATGCAGTGACGAAAACGGATCGTCAGCAACAGATTGGCGAAAGTGTTTGTCACTTTGTAACCATTTAAATGAGGTATTCAATTGCGTCAGACTTTAATTAATTTCTGCTTATAATCTGCTATCGTATATTCATTGCATTCTGCTACATCTTTGTTAGCAACGAAATTTACAAGCGGACACTTTGCAACATCTGTTGTCGACAGATTTAACTATCTGGAATTAACTAAAGCGAGTTAAGCATATCGCTAATGTTTGACTCATTGAATTAATTCCAGATGGCCAAGTTTATCGAAAATGCTAATTTTATGCTATATATTAAGGGGTTACATCTAATTGACACACTGAAAAATTAGACTTTTTTTATGAATTTTTTTTGAAAGTACTAAAAAAGCATTCAAAAAAAGCACTCAAAATGAGGTTCAGAGGGTTTATTGTACATGTATTTAAGTATACAAAAAAAATTTTTTTAATGAAAAAAAATACAAAATTGCGGCGTAGTCGCTGCTGCGGTAAGAGCACTTTTTTTTTAGGCGCTCCACGGGCGAACTAATAACTTTTTTGGATCATCATCTGGAACAAAAAGAAAAATTTTTTTATTTTTTACATTAGTTTTGCTAGAGAAGTACACACGATTATTAAGAAATATGGTTTTTTCGCAAAATGACATCATCTTGAAAAAAAGTATCCTTTTTTGACGAAAAAATCGGCCTTAATTTGTTTATAAAAACCGTAATTGTTAATCAATCGTAAAAATCGTGTGTACTTCTTTAGAGAATCTATCTAAGAAGCTACAGTTAAAATTTTATGTACATCGGATGAAAATTGCCCGAGTTATGTGTTCGCCCGATTTCAAAAACGTGGTTTCGAGATAATCGCGTTTAAAGTTTCACAACTGTTTTTCTACGTGAAATTTTTAAAATAGGGGCTTAGTGATTTTTTTACCTTTACTCGCTTATGCCAGGACCATAAAGCATCCCTTCCAAGTTTAGATTATGCTCCTCAGTTTCTTTCCTGGCTGAAACATGTTCCTTTCGAACCTCTTTTCTTGATGCCGACGACGAGTGCTCCGCAGCTCTTACGCGGTGTTCGTCGATTTCGTGGCAAAAATTATAAGTCTCGTAGCCAATCTTTAATCCTAGTAAAGCCATTACTTCAAAAAGTCCTTTGAATCCTTCATTAAAAAGTATGGCTGCTATGTCGACTGCTATATCGAGAATCTTCTTGCCACTTGAAATTGACTTCGGAGCTATCGTCCACACGATGGAATTAAAACTCTCATTCGAGTTCTGCGTGTATCCACCCAGACATCTTGATAGCAGGTCCTCTGTTGTTAAATCCTGGTATACTTTTTGAATAGCGTTGAAAATTTCCGTGGACATAGGTGGCTTATGATCATAAAATCATCATTTTTTTTGCGAGCGTCGACGTGACTTCCGACTCTTTTTCAAAACTGTGTCGGTTCGGTGGTTTTCGGTTGTTTATATTCCTTCTTTTTGACGATGCAGCCGAGCCCCTCTTTCCCTTTTTACCTTGATACAACACACTACTCATTGTTCACCACTTTTTACACAAATTAGCCACTTAATTAATGCACAACAATTAAAAATAATCGACAAAATGCAGAGCAAGGAAAAACACGTGTTGTGTGTTTGCCGACAGTTACAATTGTTTGCACAACTGTAGTTGGTAGACATGGCTACACTTTGGTCGACTAGTGGTGAACTAACGCCAACTATACTTTCTATAAATAATACTATTGGGCTAAACGACTTCGAATTGCTACTTTCGCCGTCTAGGCTGTTTCATGCGTTTCGGAGCGCTTGGAGGCGTTCCGGAAAATAGGCTATCAAAATAAGAAAAAAAATTTTTCCGCTTATAATTCCTTTTGTGTATCATTCTTGGGATGTTTATACATCATTTAAGCCAAAAAAAAACGTTAAAAAATTTTTTTCAATTAGATGTAACCTCTTAATAGAAAACTAAGTAAGATATGTGGCAAAGTTCACCTGTGGATATATACAGGATGGCCCATGTAAAGTGTTAGAAGCTATTATTTCTGAAAGTGTGTGTCAAATGACTAATATGTTCAGACAAAAGTTTTATGATTTTGAGAGGAGCATAAGATGGTACCATTTGTTTGACTTTGGGTAACGTCGTCAAACTCTTAAGAGCAAGGCCACTTTGAATTTTTTAAAGGGAACCCTCATTTTTTATTACATATTCTTATAGCTTACCTCGAGAGTTTTCCAAAACACTATAATTAAGTTCATTTTCATTAAGTACTTTTCGAGTTATGAGGCTCGAAAGTTACAGTCGGCATTAACATTACGCAAATTGTCCGCGACCGACGATTAAAACCTCTTGAATGTTGTTCAGGATCATGTTCTGGATAATATTTATCAAAATCAAGGCCATTGGAGATTATTCCTCTTATTTTCATTTTTGCACTAAAAATTCATTTTTATATAAAAAATGAAAATAAGAAGTATAACCTCCAATGGTCTTGATCTTGACAAATGTTATCCAAGGTTTTAAGCTGTCGGTCGGACACCTTGCGTAATCCTAATGCCGGCGATATTGTAACTTTCAAGCCTTATAATTCGAAAAGTACTTAATGAAAATGAACTTAATTATAATGTTTTGGAAAGCTCTCGAGGTGAGCTACAAGAATATGTAATAAAAAAATGAGGGGTTCCATTTAAAAAATTCAAAGTGGCTTTGCTTTAACTTTGACAACGCTACTCAAGGTCAAACAAATGATACCGTCTTATGCTCCCTTCAAAGTCATAAAACTTTTGTCTGAACATATTAATCATTTGACACACAAATAATAATTTGTAACACTTTACATGGGCCACCCTGTATACGTAATGTGTAACTCCGCTTCAGCTGCAGAAAATTTTTTGAAAGTTTCTGTGAAAACAATGATAGTCGAGTTCGTTTCCTTTTTTGCTTTTTTTGAACCTCCTTCATTGATATCGATTGCTTTCACTATTAATTAGCCATTAGGCTTCTACTCTCGTGTAGAGTAGAAATCTGTGGATCTCTCTCACAAAAAGATATAATGAATATAAATCAATTGTAAGTAAGAGAAGCGCTACTTACGATCAAAGTCAGATACCGGAATAATACGTCTACACTGAAAAAAAAGATTGGCTGGTGTAGCAAATTAAATAGTAAAATATAGCATAGCATTTTTAATTG